GTCCAGACAAAATATCCCTCATTGTAAACTGCATGGCTGTAAAGATCTCATTTGTATTTCTCTTCCTTTTACTCATTGAAAACTACTTGATGTTGCCTGTTTACAATAGTCCCAATTTGGAACATAAAAGAGCTCATTCGTTTGCCTCTGTCTTGGCAAATGTTTACTCATTGCACACTACATGCCAAATTAAATGCAACATAATGATAATAAAATATTGTAATATTTCAGCTCATCTTGAAAAGTTAATAGCAGATAAGAAAACACCAGAAGATGTTAAAGAAGAAGCTAAGAAAATGATGCCAATGGTAGGTTGGATCTAGTTTCTCTATTGTAAAGGAAAACTTCCATTCAGCTGTATATATGTACAGCTAAGCAATAGATTTGGCAAAGAAAGAAAACTATTACACAAAACTGTTTACCCATGTAAAATATCCATGTTTCTTCCTTGATAAATTGTTCCTAAAGGCAATCAGAAATATCAGATGAAAAGAGTTGTTTATTGTTCAGTTGAAATCTCAAAAGCTATTGTAGGATTGAGAGGAAGCTGTTTATCGGAGGAATTAAAGGGATTAAGAGGTTTTCTAAAAAAAATTTTAATGTATCTGGGACACTGATAGCATCAATTTGGACAGTTCCAATTTTCAATCAGACGTCTGTGGTTCCTTCAATTCCGTTACCACTAATTGCAAAGGCCCTTATGATACAAGCATATTGGTGTCATCAAACACTTATTTTTTGATGAATTGCAGGAACACTGACGTCTGATTAAAAGAATTGTGCAAATTGATGCTATCAGTATCTCCGATACATATGAAGTTTTTAGAAACCCTCTTTACAATTACTGTAACACATTGAACTGTGCTCAAATGTTAATTTTGACCTAAGCTCTAAAGCTGAATTGTGTATAAGAGAATTTTTTGTTTATTGTTTAATACTTGATTACTTGTAGATTGATGGTATGAGTCAGAATGATATGAAAGAAGCTATAATAAAATATGATATCAAATCACCAGTGAAAGGCAATGATATCTCTGAACCAAAGGAATTCAATTTAATGTTCTCAACCTCTATAGGACCAACTGGCCAACATAAAGGGTAGGTGATAAATTTTTGAATAGGCCACATAGGATCTTATATGTATCTATATTTACTAGAACCATTCCTTTGGTTTGTTTAATGTACTATGTGTTGTGGTTCTCATTCTCAGGGCTACCACAGAGCATAATCTCAACTCTATGAGGCACTCCACTCACCAGCTGTCAAAATAAAACCATCTTAAGTGTAAGAAATTTGTCAGACTCCTGAGATCAAAACATAAGAATTATCCAGGCCCTGTATTCTCGAAACGATCTCAGCAGTAGGATGTCCTAGAATCAATGTTAGATAATAAGAACCTAAGACATCCTAGTGCTAAGTTTGTTACGAGAATACGGGGCCAGATACTTAACTCATTTTTTGTTGAATTTAAAAATGTGCCAATTCTTATTTCAGATTTTTGCGTCCAGAAACTGCTCAGGGTATTTTTGTAAACTTTAAAAGACTTTTAGCTTTCAATGCTGGAAAACTACCATTTGCTGGAGCTCAGATAGGAAATGCTTTCCGTAATGAAATCTCACCACGGTCTGGATTGTTAAGAGTTCGGTAAGTTGATTATTTATTTGTTGTTTGTCTTGGTGTCTGAAATAATTGCCAAGCAATTTGTAAATTATTTGTCTTGTTATGTCAATAATCATCTGTTTTTGGTTAGAATCTTTGTTGGCATTAGCTAAGTCATCTTTAGTCATTATTCAATTGAATGTAGCTGTATATGATGCAGAGAAAGCTCAAGTTGGTTGGTTGTTACTTGTATGATACTAAGTTTTATTGTAAAAATTACTTAAATAATACGGCTAGCTCAGGTTCTAATCTCTTTGCATTCAAAATTATTTGATCTCTAATAAATCGTCTTTCAGATTCCAGTCTATTCAAAGCTCATTGTTGATTTTACACAATTTTGACAAGAATGCTATATTGATTTTCTTTTGCATTTTAGAGAGTTCACAATGGCTGAAATTGAACATTTTTGTGATCCAAATGATAAAAGTCATCCTAAATTTGCTGGGGTATCAGATTTAAAGTTATCCCTATATTCAGCCTGTAACCAAATGGATGGTAAACCCATGCAGTCTATGACAATAGCAGAGGCAGTTAGCTCAGTATGTTTCAATATTTGTTTGTACATTACAAGTTTAGATTGAAATCCACGGGCTTGGTATTGATGTCCACTAGGGATCTCGAGCTAATTGCAATATATCCTATATTGATTAACACTATCTAACCAATGTAAATGTTCGCAGTTTATGTTGTATGACAATAATTGTTTGTGTTCCTATTTGTTTCTTGTACTAAGATAATTGGGATAATCCAGATTTATTATTGGTCTTATTATATTAATTGTTTTTCAGAAATTGGTGGCCAATGAAACTCTAGGATATTTCATGGCCAGAATTTATCTATTTTTATTAAAAGTTGGTATCAATCCTAGTAAGTTTCGATTCCGTCAACATTTATCCAATGAAATGGCCCATTACGCCTGTGATTGCTGGGATGCCGAGCTAAAGACATCTTATGTAAGTATTTCTTTAAATCAGAATTCCAACAAATATTTATTATTATGGCATCCATTAAAATCGGATTGATTTGGTTTTTTAAAAAGTGTTTGTAAATATGTTATATGCTGGATCTTTGAGCTACTGTATGTTACTGTATTTTGATATCAGAATGAGTATAGTAATGTTGTATAGCAAGGCTTTAGGTGAGATTACTTCTTATATATAGACATATAGAATCTGACAAAGTTGTTACTTGGTATCAGAATTTATTACATGAGTGCAATTATGTTATATAGCAAGTCTTTAGGTGAGGTATAATGTGTATATTTCAGGGTTGGATAGAATGTGTAGGATGTGCTGATAGATCGTGTTATGATTTAACTCAGCATACAGAAGCCACTGGTGTTAAACTGGTAGCTGATAGAAAACTACCTGAACCAATATCCTTTTTCATTGTTATTAAATAATAGCTGGTAAATGAAGATTTTCAAAACAGTTTGGAATAAAACTCTCGTTATCTATAAAACCACTAGCTGATTTTGAGGCTTGCATTAACCTTAATTTCATCCAGTCAATTTTAAGATCTAGGTTGTGGGTTCAGCTTTACCAAGATTTAACACTTTCAATTTAAGGACCTGAGCACAAGTTGTCCATAACAAGACTATTTTGTTTTTTGATTCTTTTAAAGATACTTAATTAAATGAGATATTAAATTATTCATGAAATGTTATGTTAACATCAAAGTAATACCAAGATTTTCTAATATCACTTTTGAATATATCATGAATGAAAAATGCAAGTAATAATGGTAAAATGAAGATACACCTTTAGAATATGGTATAAAAACAATACTGTAATACACATTGATGGTTTATGACAAAATAATCAATTGTAAAAACTATGTTCCTTAACATAGTCCTACCGAACTGTAGATGTTATAGAATGTCAACCACAGATGGGGGTTCTGGGTAAATCATTTAAAAAAGATGCGAAGCTAGTCGGAGATTATCTGTCCAGATTAAATAGTGAGAAAGTGGAAGATTTAGAACAAAAGTTGACCAATAATAAGTAAGTAGAAGTCTATAAAAATGAAAACTCAGGAATATATTTTTTAAATAGATTGTCTGAATTGAAGTGAAGAATGCATTTTATGTTTTTTTGTTTTGAACAAATCATTAAAAATGTCCACAATAAATAAATAAATGTTTCACAATAAATAAGCAGTGGTCTTGATCTTTTACTGTCAGATTTGGAAATAAATTTAGAAACTTATAGAAAATACTTCTGAAGGTGATAGAATAAAATTACAGTATAATAAACATAATTTCAAATCATTTATTTTGGAGGATGTCCCAGCAAATTTATAAAAATTGAGCATTATTTTGAAACTGAATAAGAATTATATTTATATGTATTAATTGTAGAGAAATACCAGTAACAATAGAAGATAAAGAGTATAAGATTACACCACAGATGGTCAATATTAAAAGATATCAAAAAACTATTCATGGTAGGTAGTAATAAGATTGTCTGACCTAAAGACCATAATAAGAGATAGAGTTAGCAAAACAGTCTGTGTTTCAAACTCGACTTTACAGGTGCTCAGCTGGTTGTAGCTTGCATGATAGACTTCATGTCTATGCTTTGATAATAATTCAGTTCAATTACCTTAGCTAATGTCAGTGTACTTGCAAAATGGCATAATGTTGTCTGTCATTGCCAGGGTTCAATCATTACATCACAGTTTGGGATTCAAAATGACCCTTTCTGTGATCTAATATTTTCTTGGATTTATCACGAAGATCTACGAATCAAACTAAATTATACATTTGAAGGTTTACTGCTGGAATATTTAAAATTGCTACTATATTTTTAAAAAATTCGAATCAAAATTTAACTTGATTAGGTGTGATAAATCACTTATCAAATTTTTCAATTTAAATTGTACTTTCGTCATTACCCCTGTCAGTAGCAGAAAAATGTTGGTAGATGATTCCGTCAATTGTTAAATTGTATTTCAAACTTCGTGCATGCAAGCTAATGTTAAAATAGATTACAACAGGTATAAATTGACAAGTTTTAAAGTTATTAGTTCTCTCATTCTATATTTTTTTTCCAGTGGAAGAATTCATGCCATCAGTAGTAGAACCATCGTTTGGAATCGGTAGAATCATGTACGCTTTATTTGAACATAATTTTAAAATAAGAGAAGGAGATGAACAGAGAAGTGTAAGTTTTAATTTTTCATGTTGTCTTTCTGTATACTGTTTTCTAGTCACGTTGAAGATCCACCTTCTGTCATTAATGCCCCTTAGCGCACTTCTTTAAACAAACGTTCCGAACTCTTCTCGAAGTGTAGACATGAGAATAAGTTCTACTTGTCTAACTTCAGTAGGGAAAATAGGTCAGTTGTCTGAAGATGGCATAGCATGAAACTCTGAGTAACAACATGATTGAAGTTCTGTTTTAATAATTCTATTGAAATAACTTGATCAATGCCAGTGTCCAGGCAACACTCGCCTCTTTCAATACTGCAGTACTTCGTGTATCTTGATTAGTCCAATCAAAAGCTGAAACATTATTAATCATTATGAAGAACTTATTGGTTGCTTTTCCTCACTGCACCCTAAAATGAATGGATTTTTATATCTTAAGATTGTGTATGGTTGCGAATAATGAAAGTAATCACAACTCAGTTGTATTTGAGTTGCATTCAAAGATTATGACCGCTATATTTATACACAACTATACACAACTAGTGATCGCTATGGTGGTAGGGCACCTTTAAGTAAAGATATTTGAAAATGTGAATTGATCAGCGTTTCAATATTTAACAATATGATTGTTTTGTATTTTAGTTTATAAGCCTACCAGCCTCTATAGCACCCTATAAATGTTCTGTTTTACCAATCACTAACAACGTAGAATTCAATGATTATATCAAACAATTATGTAAGTAGTTTTTCAACTTTTTATCTGAAAATTGGAAACGGAAACTCGCTCTTTTGTGTACATACAGATACAGAGAGCAGTCTTAATAGCGCAGTGTTATCGGTTAATATTATAGATCTCTATCAGCTGGTAAAGCCAATAGATATAAGACTAGACCCCTTAAACAAGGTGGAAATAGACAATGTACTGTGCAGGATTATCAATATAGTATAAACAAATCGTTTCTGAGGTTGTCCGCACCTGTACCTCGTGTGTTCACTTGTTCTATTGTCTACTGTATCGATTATCACGCACCGAACACTGTATATTGTCTATTCGCACCTATTTTCAGTATTGATATGGTACTTATTGACTTAAAATGATATATTATACTATAAAGTGGACTATATCCCTGTGAAAATTAGTTTTGAAACAAAGAATCACAAAATATATGGATATACTGTTTCTAACATTTTTTAACTATTTTATAACATTAATAAGAAATAGAACATCCATATATTTCGGATTCTTTATCTATGCCTATTTCTGTATGTCTTAATATAAACAGTTTCAAAAAGAATTTGACAATATATCTATTATAGCTCTATCACTGACGTTAAATAATATATCACATTGTATGATTTAAAGACATTTATATCCTGGTGATCATTATTTACGAACAATATTCAATATAATCTTTGAATATAATCTTTTTTACTTGATAACGTTACCTGTATGTGTTTTGAAACGTAGTATGTAACAAAACTAGAAGTAGTATATCTATATAACTTGTGTTCTTAATAATCAATATATTTGTTATTTCTATTATAGCTGAATCACTGACGTTAAATGATATATCACATCGTATAGATGATAGTGGAGGTAGTATTGGAAAACGGTATGCTAGAACTGATATGATAGCTATACCTTATGGTGTTACTATAGATTTCGATACTCTACAAGCTAAACCACCTACTGTAACACTACGAGAACGAGATACAATGAAACAAGTCAGAGCTAAGGTAAATATTCAGTTTTTATCCCTTTTAATGTGCACCAACATTCCAATATCTCATAGAGCCACATGTCCATAATTAGCTAAATTCAATATTAATCCTACATTCTGTATTATAGATGGAAGAAATCCCCCAGATAGTAAAAGATTTAGTTGATGGAAGAAGAAGCTGGGATGATATATTAAAACAATACCCAATATTTGAAGGTCAAGAATCTACTAAGTGAACTGAATCTATTTCCACTGTTTCTTATAGATAATTTAAAACTTTCAATAAACCTGAGGACATGTTCAACTATATAACTATGATAGTACAGTATAGAGGCTAATATTATCATTTTTACAGAAGGACAGATTGTGTTAATTCAGATTTTTACTATAGATTTTATAAAAATTCTGCAAAAATATTCCCAAATGGACTTAGATAACCTTTAGAACACAGAATGTCAACATTTAAATACACATAACTTGAACTGAAACTGAAGTTATATGATAACTTACAGCGTATAACATGATGAAGAACACCTGCTAGTGGCTAGTGTTCAAAGGCTGTTGCTTAAAATTGTGAAGCAGCTATCATATATAAATATCAAATCAGATGCTTTAGAAAAGAGCTTGATCTACTTGTTAATTTTGACAATGGAATATTAATTGCAATACATGTAATCATGCTTTACCCTGCTTTAAGTAAAACTGCTTTAAGTAAAACTACAAAAATATGTTATTTATTTTCTGATCTTGTATATTTCTTTACACAACAGAATGAGAATGAATAAAATTTTTAAAAAATTATTCACATCTAACTGATCATTATCATGTATCGTTGTTTAATGATCATGGGTAAGGGTGCCTCTTATCATTTAGAACATAGAAGTGATCTTGCAAACTAATTGTAAATTTTAGTTTATATTGGTTACTTGTTTCGTGTTAAACGTTATTATTGACACATGAGAAAACATAGCTTACATCATGATTTCTGTAGCCCTTTCATGATGTAGGTTATCAGCTGACCATATCTCTTTAATTACTCTGATTCTGGGCCCATAAATAATCCTAAGATCAATTGTGTCATAAGTTAGGTATTTGTGCAAATCTATGTCAAATTCTTATCAAATTCTTATCGCAAGATTTCAATGTACCTTATTACACTGTAAATATATCAATACAATAAAGTATTAAATCTATTGATTTGTTTTTATTTCAACAAAAAGTAATGGAGCATTCATGAATTTTTTTCTTATGCATCCTCACCTGAGGGACATTTTTCATTAGTCAAATTTGATTTACCATCCTTGAAAAAGTTTTGATAAATATACACGAAATGAAATTAATTTTCAATCAAATTGGCTTCATTGTTAATGAATCCGCTTTGAGGGAATGTTGTTCTTGGAAATTTGTTTAGACGGGCTTCAGTAATTGCATTCTTGAGTAACTTGGATTGCTGCCATCTTGGAATAACTTTGAAGAGTTGAAAAATGTCATTCAATGAGGTCAAGAACGAGGCATTTCTAGAAGATAAAGGTTTAGAATTCCAGATCTTAAAAATATACTCAAAAATATCACAAATGTTGACATGCTGTCTTTGTAACTTCTACAAGTAACGATGTCTAAGGCAATAATAATACATTATTTTATTGCATATATTTTCACATTCGGTAAAAAAAAAACTGCATTATTCAGTGTATTATTAGATGATAATAAAACATGTCCTCTCGGTAGTTTAGAACTCATTCGGTAGTTAAAAGTAAAATGAATGCCTGTATGTTGAATAATGACCTTGACCCTACCTAATGTTGATGTTTTGATCAAGGACGATGGTCTTCTAGTTGAAAAGTTCCAGAATAAATTCCAAGATGTTGTCCATTTCGTCAGTTTATCAGCCTTTTTGTCAGCGTCAATTGGTGCAGGTAGGTCTGGTTTAGTTGCATGTAGATCTGAATAAGGCATTCAATTATCCTGCAATTGCTTCCAAACATAAACAGAATTTTTCTTCAGGGAAGGGAGGTAACTATCTAATGTCTAAGCAATCTAAAGTTGCACTGACATTTTCACTTACAGGAAGTCTTTTGGGGAATGACATAAAGTCTTTGTGAATTAGCAATGAGGTATGTGCGAAAGGTGTAGGGTAGGACTTACTGACATAACCCATGTGTGAACACAACGCAATCACTTCTGACCCGTGAACAGAATGTTATGCACAAACAATACTTAACCTATATAAGCATATACAAGTAGTGCCTTTGAGTGTCAGTAGGTGCAAATGCAGCCAATTTTGGTTGTGCAATGGGTAATAAAGTGCGAGCACAGTTAGCAAGTGATGTGCTCCGCTACGAAGCAATAAATGGCTTGTACGACTTGCCATGACCTCAGCACTGCATTGTGGGGGAAAAAATTCTTGCAAGTGTCAGTGTGGCATTAGGCTTAGGATTTCTTCTTCTTTTGATTATTTCAAAGATTACCGTAGCGGTAAACAATATAAGCTTACACTTCTTGCTTTACGATACTTTATTCTTTTTTTCCATGATGTCTATATTTAGTTATTTGCCTGCTCATTTTACAATACATTTTGTAGGCATTGTCTGTTGGTGCTAGGTTATATTCCAGTAAGAAACCTATTGATACCGAATGGGCTGAAGGAGCAAAGAAGGAACTAAAAGGCAAGGATGTGGAAGAAACTTTAACTTGGAAAACTCATGAAGTAAGCCTACTTTTCATATATGTCTTCTTTAAGGCTAGGTAACATGTTAATTCTTTGGGAGTGTAAAAGTACAAAACTGATGTACAATCACTGCCAGTTTAATGGGCTGACAATCAACATCAACTCAAGGTCAATTAGACTTTATGTAGAAAACCATAACAAATGTCTAAGGTGTTAATGGGACAGTAGCCAGAAGACAGAATGGCTAAGTCTACTTGCTTTGTGCTACAATGCATGTGGTTTACAAAGCCAAACTTGATTAATAAAATACACCCTAATTATTTATCAATTATGCTTTATCAAAACAAGATTCCATTATTAACATACATCAAACAAATCATCAGAGTTAGACTTTGTTACAAAGAAGCTCATATTAAATTATTTTTTCAATATTTTATTTTGCTAGGGTATTGAAATCAAGCCAGTCTATACTCAAGATGACACGTCACACATGCCTAAAGAAATACCAGGGAAATACCCCTATACTAGAGGACCTTATTCTACCATGTATACACACAGACCCTGGACTATTAGACAGGTAACTACTTATTATATTGTTTTCAGTTTTGTTGTAACAATATTTATTGAATAAGAAAAATGAATTGTGTTATTTTCAGTAATATAATAATAGAGCTTAGTGTATAGAAAAGAAAGAGTATTTACAATATTTTACAAGGATATAAACTTAAAAAGCCTTAGTCTCTAATCTTATCACTGTAAAGTACTGTTGCACTAGAACTGGACAACCAATAACATCAGGTTTTCTATTGAGTAATGAATTGTGAACAAACTGGAAGTTGTATTTCTGTAAATTCTTAAAAGCGATAAAGTAAACTGATATCTAATTGAGATATAATTTATTTGATCTAGTATGATGGATTTAGTACTGTTGTAGTCATGTGATATTGCTATATCTCTGTAATAATGATATATATATATGTATATTTATTTGTTTAGTATGCAGGATTTAGTACAGTAGAAGAAAGTAACAAGTTTTATAGAGAAAATATAGCAGCTGGTCAACAAGGTCTTAGTGTAGCTTTTGATCTGGCTACACATCGTGGGTATGTATCAGTCATTCTTACAACTCTTCCTAGTGATTCTTAAATAGAAATTTTGATAAATTGAATTTGGCAATTACTAGCACAGGTATCTTATGAAATGTATTTATGCATCCTATTATTCTTCTCCTGATATGCTAATGAAGACAATCAATGCCATACAGTGTGCTGTGAGGGAAATTTAAGCAAGCTCATAAACTAAGTATCAATAAGTCTTGTTAAGTTTGTTTGTATTTATTACTCAAAGCTTCTATCATGTAAACTGCTATTTTGTCAGATGGTTAAAGGCTGAAATAGAATACTTTTAAAATCTAAATTTGCTTTAAATCTGATAGACTACTGGAGTTGGATTCCAATAATAATACATTCCAGCTATGATTCTGACAATCAAAGAGTATTAGGTGATGTAGGAATGGCTGGAGTAGCTATAGATTCAGTAGAAGATACTAACATATTGTTTGATGGTATACCACTTAATAAGATCTCTACATCAATGACAATGAATGGAGCTGTTCTACCCATCATGGCTATGTATATTGTCTCTGCTGAGGAACAGGTTGGAGTTTTATTTTAGAATGTGCATGCCCCAAAAAGATATGAGATGAAATTTTTCATCAGTCTGAGTTTTTACATGTCTCTTGCATGTTTCCTTCAAATTAACTTTAAGATATTTTGAGAAATTTGACCCTGGAGTGATCCCACTAGGTACTGGACTGATTGGGCTCTACTTGGTGAACAAGACTGGTAGACCAGCTTGATTGTCTTTCAATAACAAAGCTATGCTAGTCTTTAGTTCAGTTGTCCAAGACAGCTCAGTGTTGTCAGTACATTAAGCCCACACATCTGTTAGTAAATTTGATCAGATTTTCATCGCGAAAAGTGTTGCAAAAGAAAACCTTTAAGGTGGAATTAAATGTACAGTGTACGGTGTGGAATTGTCGATACAGTAGAAAATATAAGAAGTGAATCGTGTCCGTACCCTGTGTGTTCACTTCTTCTATTTTCATTTATACTGATTATTCCACACCCTACACCATACATTGTCTATTTGTGACTTGAATATATTATAATATATACAATAATGCAAAGTTTCAATGATCTAATCCTTAAAATTAAAAAAAATATGGACCTTAGGTTCCCCTTAATTATCAGAAACATGTTTGTATAACAGGGAGCCAAACAATCAGAACTAGCTGGAACCATACAGAATGACATCCTGAAAGAGTTTATGGTCAGAAATACCTACATCTTTCCACCAGAACCTTCCATGAAAATTATTGGGGATATTTTTTCATATACAGCCAAGGTAAGGTGGTGTCGAATATTACATCTTTCCTTATGTATAAGTATACAACTGTGTTCGCTTGTATTTAAAGCAAAATATTTACTGAAGTCTCTTTGGCCAAATATTATTAAATTAGTTATGAGTTTTTTCAACCCTGTATGGAGAGTCTATCAAAAATGTAATTTTGGGACAGTTAGTGCAACAAACGGGTAATGATTTCACAGGAAAAGACAATGTTATTGAATAAGCACACTTCTTTAATAGAATATTAAACACGTAACATTTCGTCATCAGATGAAATAACGATGGAATAAATAATTTGTGTTGAAATGTTATTTGTTTAATATTTTATTAAAGAAGTGTGTTTTATTCCATGATATTGCCTGGTATTTGTGATTTGTACTCCTCACTTCTAAATGTTGTTCAAATCCTGTATTTATCTTGTATTGTATTATATATTGCAGAATATGCCCAAGTTTAACTCTATATCAATATCTGGTTATCACATGCAGGAGGCGGGAGCAGACGCTGTGTTGGAACTAGCTTTTACCATAGCAGACGGTTTACAGTATATTAGAACAGGTAGTGTATCTTAAGATATTGGTTTAGCACAACAAATCTGGACTCACTCTTCCCTCGATGTGATATACAGATGGGATATCGAAATGTTTTAGACTAGACATAAAATGAAACTCTGTTTTTTGAGAATATTGCCATGACAAAATACAAACTTGGCATAAATAAAGTCTTAAAAATGCAAAGTTTTTGCAAAAGGAAAGATTCCTAGATTAATTCATTTTTTATGTAATTAGAATCACAGCATTATTGATCAACCAAAGTTTCTTAACAATTGTATATCTCTATCTGTCTTTTAAAGATAAATGATTAATGTTTTTAGGTTTAGAGAGTGGTTTAGATATTGATAAATTTGCTCCTAGATTGTCTTTCTTCTGGGGTATTGGTATGACTTTTTATATGGTGAGTTTGTTACTGCTTGCATCAAATTTGAATGACAATATGATTTACTTCTATTACAAAGAAATGTACCTTTTTGACCAAAGTTTTATTTCTGGTTACTTAAAGTTTTAAGTGTTTTTAAATTTGATCAATGTTCGCTTTAAAACAAAAATGACCAAATAACAGTATTATCTAATTTTTTACAATTTTAGGAAATCGCGAAGTTACGAGCAGCCAGAAAGTTATGGGCGGAGCTAGTGAAAGAGAAATTTAAACCAACCAATAAAAAGTCTCTATTATTACGGGCACATTGTCAAACATCAGGATGGTCTTTAACAGAACAGGTTTGTACAGTTGGATTGTTTGTTTGGTCCATATCAATTGGGTTTTATTCCAAATTTTCTGGTAATGGTTTGATGAGCACATAATATATTATTTTTAGAATTACTAATTTGAAATGATAAATCATAGAACAGGTTTATAATGTTAGATTATTTGGTTCTTACTAAAGACTCCTAATATGGAGTTTTATATTATCGCTATGTTTGATTAGATCTTTACAATTGGCTGGTTATGGTTCGGTCTTTATGACATTTTTGTTGTATGTTATTGTACCTGTATGTGTTTTTTTTTTCACTCATTTGGGCGCTGATGCCCCCTGACGAGCACATTATGCCTTATTTTTAGTATTACTTATTTGAAATCAAAAATCATTTTAAAGATTTCCAAGTGATTAGTCATTAAGAGAGTCCACATAGCTAATACTGAAATTTGATACTTCTTATTCTAGGATCCATATAATAACATAATAAGAACAGCCATTGAGGGAATGGCAGCAGTATTTGGTGGAACTCAGTCTCTCCATACTAATTCCTTTGACGAAGCTCTTGGCTTACCAACTAAATTCAGCGCCAGAATTGCCAGGAACACTCAGATTATTTTACAAGAGGAATCAGGTGTTGCTAAGGTATTTTTTTCAAGATTTCTATGCTCAATTTATTTGTCCGAAGTGTGTACTAAATGGATGCGGCCATCTTGTATGACTCTCAGTGAGTTCAGATCATTGGGTTTTGTTCCAGCATGATTCAGATATTACCTTGAATTGTCTGTTATGGGCAACATGGTGGAATTATCATTTAATTGTTTGATGGAATGACAAATTAAGGCCTTGTGTACGATTGTTTCTATTTGTTATCTAGGTAGCAGATCCATGGGGAGGTTCTCATATGATGGAATGTTTAACAGATGATATTTACCAAGCAGCCAAAACCCTGATAAATGAGGTAAGAGCTGTTGTATACTGCACAATATTATATAATGTAGTTGTGCTTTGAAATTTTTGAAGGTGTTCTTTTTCATGTTCATAACATGTAAAGATATAAATTTCTGTAAATTTTTTATTTGTATTCTGTTAATAGTGCTCAAAAACATACCATGAATGTTGTAGATTGAAGAAATGGGTGGAATGGCCAAGGCAGTGGCATCAGGAATGCCTAAACTAAGAATAGAGGAATGTGCTGCTAGAAGACAGGCTAGAATAGACAGTGGACAAGGTAAGGTATAGGAAATATACACAAACAATTTAATATCATCTATCATAATCTGAATTATCATGTTGGTAAATTAGATTATTGAAGATCCAACATTAAAACATTTTATCATTATTGTACTACCTAATCCTTGTCCTTAATGTCTTCTATAAGTTATATCTGTATACAGAGCAGTATGTGTATGATATATAAAGCTGTGAATTAACGAGATGTGGTGTACGATGTTGGACTATCGATACGGTAGAAAACAGTAGAAGCGAAACTGTGCCTGCAGAGTGTCCAAACTCATACCATGTGTATTCACTTCTTCTGTATTGATTTAAGCAATAAACTGTTACCCTATGGCGGTTATGGTCGTTGGCTGGAAAATTGAATAAATGCGCTTTAGACTACCGACATGATTGTTTACATTGGAGACCGTCTATTTGATACAATGACGTCAATGAATAACGACGTCATTGGTTAAAATTACTACGCCTAATGTTTTGGTGATGAGGCAATGGCGTTTATGGTGATATAAACGCCACACGAATTTGTATTAGTCCAATGGAAGAAATAATAGCAAATGTAAATATTATTCTGCATCATTCACCATACCTTGTATAATCGCGACTTTAGAATTTAATTAGTCTAGCATTAGTGTAATAACCCACATCAAATTAAGAAACAAAACATTTTAATCACATACAATCTATGTTTTTGATTATAGAGGTGATAGTAGGTGTCAATAAATACAGGTTAAAAGATCAAGAATCAGTAGATGTATTAGTAGTAGATAATACAGCAGTTAGAGAATCTCAGATAGCTAGATTAAAACAACTACGTGAAAACAGAGACAGTAATAAGGTTAGTTATATTTTTATTAATTTATAACCAGGCCCCTATAAGATGTTGGAAGTTACAGTGCCCTCTCACCAGTGTGATATTTGTATGTAATGAATACTAAATATATATTACAGGTAGAACAAGTGTTATCAGCTATCACTGAATGTTGTAAGACTGACAAAGGTAACCTATTAGAGTTAAGTATAGAAGCTGCAAGAGCAAGATGTACAGTAGGGGAAATAACTGATGCTATGGAAAAGGTAAGTGTAGAAACGACCAGAAACGAAAATTGATTATAATCAGGTTTCACTGAAATATTTGTAACAAATCCACAGAATTATTTTTTCTATTTGTTATTCTTTGAAATAGTAGAATAACAATGCGAACCACAAAAAAACTCAAAATTGCAGTTTGGCAATACATTGGTTGCTAATGAACAGTTTTTAGACATGACACACTACCTGTGTATTTTTTTGTAATGTATAAAATTGTCCATGTAAAGTTTTTGTTATGTGCTATAGGTATTTAACCGTCATACAGCCACAGGAAGATTGGTGAGTGGAGCCTATAAAACAGAGTTTGGTGATAAAGATGAAATAGCTAAAGTTTCTAAAAGAATTGAGGTACTTTCCACCGGTTGTTTCTATTATTTCTAATAAATGTCTTTCACATGGTTTCACATGGTGCCTTGATGCAGATCTAAATCTATTGTTAAATGTATAGTCATATCAAATAAAAATTAAAAGCAGTGCATGTCAATTCACTTTACACTTTGAAATGCATCAATAGAGGGAAAGATTTGCACAACTTGCCTTAATTTACTGACATGACTTAATTTGTTATCTATATGCACCCAAATTATGTGCATGTGATTTTGCACTTGACATAGCAAGGAAACTAGTCCAATACTCTCAGATGTCAAATTTCCACATTTTCAGAAATTTATTGAGCATGAAGGCAGACGTCCAAGAATATTGGTAGCTAAGGTTGGTCAAGATGGACACGATCGTGGAGGTAAAGTTATAGCTACTGGTTTTGCTGATGTTGGTTTTGATGTTGATATTGGACCACTATTTGCTGTGAGTATCTTTAGAGCTTTGTTGTTTCAATATTGATATACTTTCATCTTGCCATAATCGATCAAAGCCATATTTCTATTTTTTATATGTATATTCATCTTGTCAAATAAGTATGATGGTCTACTATATGATGGTCCCAATATTCTGACCACAGAAAACTACCATTGTATGAAGCACAGTTCTCCACAGTTAGGTATTTTTTTAGGCTAAATTACAGCTAAGAAATAGATGAAATAGCATTCCTCTGTTCTTTTAATTACTGTAAGTGAAGCAAAATAATTTGAGTTTTATTGAGCATTACTGGTTTGAAGAATATTTTGTGATCCATTAAATTCAATACTTGTTAATGATGATAGAACACAAGAAACATGAATTGTCACAATGTCACTAAATATAAATTGTGGATTGTGTCTGTTTTTCCAGACACCTAAAGAAGCAGCCCAGCAGGCTGTAGATGCTGATGTTCATGTTGTTGGAGTGAGTTCTCTAGCTGCTGGACATAAATCACTGATTCCACAACTTGTACAGGAATTAAAGAACATGGGCAGATCGTAAGTTGTCTCTTCGAAACTTTAATTTTAATCTTTATTTAACTCCTTGGCTTGTATTCTTCTGTAGTCATTTTCCCATTGTCAGTGACACATTAAGGACCCCCCGGTAATAAGAAACCAGTTTCTCACTTACAATGATGTGCTTTAAAGATTTCTTGGTAATTTAGAGTATTTGTATGACACTGAATTAGCACATTAAGGTGCAGGAAAGAAGGATGTAAATTTCCTTTTCTTTAGCCATTTTGAAGTTGATAACTCTAGTCCTTTAAAACAATACAAATAGAAAGCCGTAAGACTAGAAGCTCTACCTATTAGCTCAAAATTAGGAAATAGGCCTAAAGCCCCATACCATTAGCCTCAGTAAGGTGCTGAACAGTAGGGTGTAAACTCAGTTACTTTGTATTTCTATTGTAGAGATATTCTAGTTGTAGCTGGAGGAGTTATCCCACCACAGGATTACGACTTCCTGTATAAAGCAGGCTGTTCAGCTATATTTGGTCCAGGTACTGTAACTCTTATCAAATCTGTATAATTCGGGTATGGTGGTTAGACAATTCAGCATATTAGTAGACGATCCAAGATATTTATACCCAATCAAGGTTATTTTCATACATAATTGATGCAAAAGTCTATGAATTGATTTGGCAATGTCGCACAGAATTCTGTTTACTGGATCAAGGAAGTTATTTTAATCATTCATACAGAGACTCAGCAAGTTGTTTGCTCGCTCATCTCTGGCATAGGCATAGGCATAGATTTTTCAACTTGGTTATCACTGCAGTCCTCGGAAATTGCCTTTTGTCATTCAGATGTGACAATAAACAGAGACTGCATATTCTACATGCTCCCTTTACAGTTGGAAATTTTGAAAAAGCTTGCTCCTACAGCTGTACCGCTTAATATCACTCATTGTCCCTGCTTCGCATTCCAGTGAACTGAGAAAACTCATTCTTATTTCTAGGTACAAGAATTCCAGATGCAGCATTACATGTGATAGATATATTAGAATCTAATAATAAATCACCTAAATCACAATCAAGTTGAACAGACAGTCAGACAGTGAGTGATTCAGATAACTTACAAAGGTTTAACTTTATAATAGTGTTTCAACTGGCAATCAACATCAGACCTATTTATACAGTGATAAAGAAAAGCTTAAATAATTTCATAGAAGCTTCTAGGACACCTGTTGATATTCTGCCACTGGATTAGTCATCCTTGTAGGAGTGGATTCAAGAGAACTTGACCAAAAATCTTTATACATAAAAGTGTTTCAACTGGCAATCAACATTTTATACATCTAGATGTTGTGGTATTATACTCTGTTTAATAAGCAACTAAGTTGGAACAAGGTTCTACCATAGTTATCTCTAGTGTAATGGATTGTATGTAAGTACTCTATAGTTAAGAGAGGAAATGTTCAAAACATTCTAAGAGAGGAACCAAAGAGTAAATGAGATTGATGTGCTTTTCTTAATCAACCCATCTTCACAATATCAAGTTAATGTAAAATTCTTCTATTTGATTGGATTGGCAAGCGAATACAGCCAATCAGAGCCCTCGATAAAATGGAAAGTCTGTTAACAAGAGCCATCAACATTTTTGTAAACAATAAAGCCATAAAGTTTACATTATTTTAATTTCTGTCTAGGGCTCTGATTGAATACAACCAATCAAATTACTGTATTCCAGTGATACAAGAAAAGTGACGTAATTTGTAATAGCTTGACATTGTCTAGAATGTTTAATTGTATTTTAAATCACGATGTTTAATCTGTAAATGATTTTAACTCTGTATATGTTAACTAGTGAGTTTGTCTCCCTGTAAATTACCTATGGATGTAATATTACAAACTTTATAGACATCTGTGAATATCAAAGATAAATAATCTTATAAGTGCTATTGATAAATCTTGTGGAAATATTCTTCAAAAGATGACTTGAATGTAATAAAATATTTATTTTATTATTATTTTTATCGAGTTACAATGAGATAGAAATACAGATACTGAAAGAAAAGTAACAAGATCTAACTGGCATTACTTCATTTTCATTTGAGAAGCCATAAATCAAGTTGATTTATCCATTGGCTGAAAAAAACTTGACTGTAATACAAAGATATCTATCAGCTCCTACCAGTGACTTTTGTGATATTCACTACTTTCTAGTACATAATTAAAGCACATAATGTCACTGGATTAAATACTGTAACCCACTGGCAGTATCCCCTCTCTATTACATGTATCTGATATTACTTGATACCACTAGATTGAACACTCTAACCAGGTTAGCTACAACCCTTTCCCATTAATCAATAGAATCCTGGTAGTGTCTCCCTACTATATCACTGGTTCTAAAATTCAATCTTATCATTATCCTTAGACACTTGTATCTGATATATGATATCACTAGATTAAACACTCTAACTGCTAGAACTACAACCCTCTTCCATAAATCTGGTAGTGTCTCTAAAATTCTTGTCTCTCCTTGACACTTGAAACTGATATCACAAGATGTCACTAGATTGAACACTCTAGTCAGGTGAGCTACAACCCTCTCCCATTAATCAATAGAATCTTGGTAGTGTCTCCCTACTGGTTCTTAAATTCAGTCGTGTCTTTCACCTTGACAATTATAACTAGACCTAGCTCAATGACTTACAGGTCTACTTGTAACTAGTGCTGGGTATCATCAATCATGTCACTATACAATATGTATCACTATACAATATGTATCACTATACAATATGTATCACAATACGATATGGGGTAAGGGGATACAAATTAACATTTTATCTTCAAAGTTCCAATATATTTTAATGTAGTTGATAGAGTGGTTAACGTCTTATAAATAGTTTCCATCAATTTCAGTCAAGTCAGTGACTCAGTGAAAACAATTATGATTCCATTCACAAAAATCCTCACTTTTTCTATGGAATGAGAGGTATCATCAAGTATTGATACACAACCTTGAGATACGATACATGGTCGTATCACGATACCTTGATATATCATGCCAGCACTACTTGTTTAAACACTCTAACCAAGAGAGCTACAACCCTCTTCTATTCTAGTTCATCCTTGTACTGCCTCCTCACTATCACAGTTGTTCTCTGAATCAGAGTCATTATTCTTATCCTTGGCACTAACTGGCTTCAGTAATGATCCTTGTGTTATTTCTAATATCTCATATATATCTAATGCCATGCCTGAAAGATAATGTTTTAAAATTATAAAGAATGTTATTAATATTATGAAGATATATCGTATAATTGTGTATATAACACTCTCATAATTGCTCAAATCTGGTTGAACTATGCTCACCTATCAAGCTAAAAGGGCTTGATTTCACAAACAGTTATGCATGCTGTGGGATCATGAACAGTCTTTGTCCCAGCAAGATTATCATATTGTGGACAGGATCAAACCAGTTTGATATTGTCACTGATTGTTTTATCGCCTTCAATACAGTAGCATCATACAATCAGATTCATTTTCCTTTCACTTGAATGATCATTGTCTTCTTGTGTGCTGTTAAAAAGACTCTCATCAGCGACCAAGATTGTTTGTGTGCCTGCACCAGTTGTGGAAATTGTTTACACCAGTGATATCAGTAACTGTTTAATATCTTCTTGACAATAGATGTTTCACATTGAATATCCTTAAATCCCCTTTCAAGACTAGAATACAAACATTTATAAAGTAAAATATATGACCTGGAGGTATATTATAGCCCTTGGATAAACCATGTATATTGGATGGAGTAACACAATCCATAGTAACTTCTTTACGTAAACATTGATCTATATCTACTGCACTAAAAAACGCTACAGACTGTAAATAAAACAAACCGGTAATATTATAACTAAAGAATCAACAAAATTATTTGCTATATCACTTTATTTATTATGATCATAATCATATTGAAGGAAGGGGTGTATCAGAATCAATAAGAGTGTTAAAATCTTTCGTTAATTGCTTGGTTGGGTGAAATAAAAAAGTCATCTTTCCTTATTTGTCCAGTTCGCATGTGAATGTCTGGTGAAATAAAAAAAAGTCATCTTTTTCCAATTAGCCTAGCTCTTAAATGAGTGTAGACATTCCAGGAAATATCCATGCCAAGAAAATTGGCCAAGGAAAAAAACAGGTTGTTTCTATCTTTATTCCAATCGACCCAACTGGTACAGATAATGCTGAAATGATCAACGTCAAGAGGTTTGGCCAGGACAAGCTGGTACACAGGATCATCATGGACCAAAGATGCTCTCCTGGTAGATATTCCTTGTTTGTTTCTTGCTAATAGTGAATAATTTACCTGTGGAAGATCATTCATGTCTAGTTTATAGGCAAACATAGACCGAGTTAGTAGATTGGTGATCTGTAGAGCCAGAGCGGCTCGGTACTTATCTTCATTACATACCATGTATCGTACCTCATCGTGAAGACTAATAGAGAATCTACCATTAATATTATACTTATCAAACAACCATCTCATACACACCAACATTAGATGTAGGTAATCTACAGCTGAACTCTGTACCACCCAGTTTACTCTACTCGTCATAAACTATCAAATACAAATACAAACTATCAATATAAACTATCAAATACAAACTATCAATATAAACTATCAAATACAAACTATCAATTTAAATTATCAAATACAAATACAAACTATCAATATAAACTATCAAATACAAATACAAACTATCAATATAAACTATCAAAGACAAATACAAACTATCACTATATACAAATACAAACTATCAATATCAAAAAATACAATATAAACTATAAAATACAAATACAATCACTATATACGATATAAAGTATGAAATACAATATAAACTGTCAAATACAAACTATCACTATATACAATATAAACTATCAAATAACATATAAACTATCAGATACAATATAAACTATCAAATATCAATAGAAACTATCAGATACAATATAAACTATCAAATATCAATATAAACTATCAAATATCAATATAAACTATCAAATACAATATATATAAACTATCAAATACAATACAAACTATCAGATACAAATATAATACAAACTATCAAATACAAATATAATACAAACTATCAAATACAAAATATCAATACAAACACTATCAAATACAATACAAACTATCAAAGAGAATATATACTACAAATATATAAAATAACTATGGAATGAATGGAAAATGAAAAAAAGAAAACTGACTTACGTCTTCAAGAACGTTGTGTGGTTCTAAAGTTTTACTGATTCTACAGCCGAGGACTGGAGTTTTTGGTTCATGTAATCTTGCTATCATCTCTAGAGCATTGAACATATCACTTTCACTGAAATAATCAAATCACATGATTAATTGTAATTCCCTGTGGAAAATGAATTGGTATTGTCTGACTAAATTGCTTACTAATTTTTATGAATATTTTACTTAATAATTTTACTCACCTTCCACCAAACCATTTTCTATACTGACTGAAATTTACAAAATATTACAAAATTAAATTAATCTTAGCTCATTTCTATATCTAAACCTTCTGCAAAATATTTCCCAATATTCCTTGTGTTTGTTGATGTTAAGTTGAATACAATTTACTATTTAAATTATTGCATTTAACCCTTGAATTCAAGTGACCTGCATACAGGCCACATAAATCTGCAGTATTTACCCTAGTGACCAGTAAAGTGAATGTCACATAACATTAACGTATACGCTTTCAGTTATATTGCTTGGAGTATATGACCTTTTATCTCATTTACACTCTGTGTTTAAAGGGTTAAGGGTTTGGAAAAGAGAAAAATTGCAGAAGAAATTATACTTTTACTTACTTTCGTTTACCCTTAGTACTAATGAACATTTTCATGGCTTTCTTTCTCGCTTCTTCTGGTGTTAATTTAGGATTAAACTGCATCAATAATTTCTCCGCGAATTTCTGACCTGCTCCGTATATACGACCATAATTCAATACCTTAAAATAATACACACCATTGATATAGATCATTTATAGATCATTTCTATTACTCAAACTGTTTCTGATATAGTGTAAGTAACAGGAAATTACATTAATTAGAGACTGTAGAGAAATTTGTCAGGTACTAGGTTTATTTTATAAATTATAGAACTGGAAACTTGTTTCAGTGAACACCTCAATCACAAGGTATTAAACCATGAATAGACGGGTTATGGTGTTCGGTGTGGTGTATGGTGTGGAACAATCGATACAAACCAAAATAGAAGAAAGAACACAGGAGGTAAGGTACTGATGCAATTTGTTTCTAGTATTTTCTACTGTATCTATAATCTCGTACTGTACACTATTAGCACCTTTATTATTAACTTAACCTATACCCTTGAAACTTAAGTTTTGCAAACAATTTTTATCTATAAATTCCAGTGTAAAGAGTATTAAAACTAACCTTAGCATGGTCTCGACTAATACTGGCTGTTTCTGCTGTTTTACTGTGTAGATCTGTTTTATCTTGTTTCTTACCTTGTAGAGTCATCCAACCAAACGCTGTACAACCTATAGTCATAATAATATAGTAATACATAGATATAACAAAATTTACACTTCTACTATTACTCCCTTCTATAAACCAGTTACATGTATATTTTTTATATATATCGTGTATATTGTGGATCATGCTTCAAACATACATTAATAAGTTGTCATGTGATCAATTGCGTTTACATGCCAAAAATGCTCTTGAGCCCAACGTTTATTTCAAAGTTATTAATTAACCCTTTTAAAAGAAGGAAAGAAAAAACTATATTTTACAAGGATAACAATTTAGGTTCACAATTAAGGATCCTTTCTACCAGCTTGTTCCTTGGCCAAAACCTCTTGGCATTGATCTTTCCCAGGATTATCCGTACCCATTTACAGCTGGGTCGACTGGAATAATGAGTAAGATGACTTATTAGTAGTAAATAGCATATTTCACAATTTTTTGCATACTGCCCTTTAAACGAATATAGATTCTTACCATGAACCTTTTTGAAGTATGCATCACCCAGAATTGATGCAATCCATAGTTCCTGAGAGTCTACATCAGCTCCGACAAAACAATAGCCTGGTGGAGCCTGGATCATAGCTTTCAATTCACTACCTATTCTATCTTCCTAGTAAAAAGAAAACACAAATCACATACTTCAGGTTCTTCCACAAATGTTTTTACACAAAAAAGGGGTTGCCTAGCAAGATATATGCCAACTTCCCAGATAAATCTTCAGTATATCAAGGGGGGTCGCCAATTTGTTTTTTAACTTGTACCAAAGATAGCTTGCCAGGCAAGGTAACATACGCCCACTGGCAGCTGTCAGAAATGATTAAACAGTCTTTAGTGACTACAGGGTTGCACAATATAGCTAATAGAGAAAAACGTCAAGTCAGACATGATATTTCGGTGAAATATTATCCGATCATCGCGAAAATCAATAGGGATCATCTTCATAATGACATTGACATACAAAATAAAAATCAAAAGAATCTGTAAACAATTGTAGCCTGTAGAGTGAGCACGAGTTGCACAATATAGCTAATAGAGTAAAATGTCAGGTCAGACACGATATTTCGGTGAAAAATTATCCGATCATCATGAAAATCGATAGATCATCATGAAAATCAATAGGGATCATCTTCATAACGACATAGACATACAAAATAAAAATCAAAAGAATCTGTAAAAAATTGTAGCCTGTAGAGTGAGCACGAGTTGCACAATATAGCTAATAGAGAAAAACGTCAAGTCAGACACGATATTTCGGTGAAAAATTATCCAATCATCACGAAAATCAATAGGGATCATCTTCATAATGACATTGACACACAAAATAAAAATCAAAAGAATCTGTAAAAAATTGTAGCCTGTAGAGTGAGCACGAGTTGCACAATATAGCTAATAGAGAAAAACGTCAAGTCAGACACGATATTTCGGTGAAAAATTATCCGATCATCACGAAAATCAATAGGGATCATCTACATAATGACATTGACACACAAAATAAAAATCAAAAGAATCTGTAAAAAATTGTAGCCTGTAGAGTGAGCACGAGTTGCACAATATAGCTAATAGAGAAAAACGTCAAGTCAGACACGATATTTCGGTGAAAAATTATCCGATCATCACGAAAATCAATAGGGATCATCTACATAATGACATTGACATACAAAATAAAAATCAAAAGAATCCATAAAGAACTGTAGCCTGTAGAGTGAGCACGAGCCTAATGTGAACGGACGGACGGACGGACCGACGGGGTGATTACAATATACGGCCATCATACGTGTGGGCGTATAAAAATCTAATTTGTCCAATTTTGACATTAACTGTCACCTCTATCACGTTCACATGCCAACAAATTTATGACACATTTCTATTAAAACTCAACTTAAAAACAATTTATGACGAAATCATCAATTTTGAACTTGACCAAGATCTCATCATCATAAATAATACACAAAAACATATATTCTTATTAGCCTCTTCTGATGTCCTCACCAATGGGTCCATCCTACCACCTCTACATTATGTTTAGAAGGCTTTGATGCTTTCAGTGATTCCCAACCAAAAAGTGTCATCATGAAAAAAGTAAACTTACATAAGCATTACTAGCAGTGAGCCAGGTTCGTTCTACAGCTCTCCTGGTTACTGTACCAGCTGTAACAATACGAGGTATTATCCCTCCATATTGACTGTCTGGATCATAATCTTCTTCCCTAGAAAACATATAGAGATTGTCATGAAGTAGAGATTCATTTACAGTATAATTGCGAATATAATGCGCACCCTTAATGACCCTCAATAAAACTCTAGCTCCATATTGACTATCTGGGTCAAATCTTCCTCCCTAGAAAACATATAGAGATTGCCATGAAATAGAGATTCATATACAATATAATTGCAAACATAATGCGCACCACTAATCACCCTCATATGAATCTGGAAAAATCTCTGCCACTGTAAATAATGCACACACCACTCTCTTTTCTGTATTTATGAAATTACTGATGGAAGCAATGAACTTCAACAAGATCAGAAATAGAATGATGTGCTTAAATTTTTCAATAAAGTCTGCAAAACATTGACACTTGTATTATTCTAACTAATAACATAATAAGTTTCAGTAAAAACTTTCCATAGAGGCTAAATTTCCAAAGAGCTGAACTCTAGAACAGTATTATATATCTGGTAATCTTACTTAGTAACTGTTTTTGGTAATTCTGATTTTTTCAACCAAACTGACATTTGTTTTCTGTAAAAAAAAATATAAGGTTCCTTCAAATTATTAAAATCTTTATCAGTTTATAGTTACATGTGTTATCATGAGGAGAAACTAACAAAAACCAATAAAGTTCACACTATTTATACCAAATATATACATTATTATCAGGGTTCAATTTAAGCAATATTGCATCCCATAGCCAAAAGCAAAATTTATCACAGGATTTGCTAATCAATTTAAATTGTATATTTTACGTGAAAATTTCCTGCCAAATCTAGAAATATACAGAACTTCTTCGTGGTCTTCATATAAGGAACTAAATTTATTATGAAGTCTACAACGGGAAAGCAATTAACTATGGCTCAAAATTTGCAGAAACAATTCATGGAAAATAATAACTGACCAGACATTTACTCGTTTACAAATATACAAAGAGGATTTGAAAAGAAAAACTTCAGAAATTTCTGCTGCGGTCCACAAATCCCACAATACCCTGGAACAGAGCAGAAATAAAATGAAAAAGAAATAACTTACTCAATTCTTTCCTGGTTATTTTTCCAATAAGAACATATTTTACCAAGATAGAGTATTCTCTGAGCCTGATCACCAGTAGCAGCCCGTAATGTTCCATCTTCAATTCTATTCATATAATCTTTAGCGAGAGGATTCCCTACTTTATTCTGAGCACCATTCTATATACAAATAGATACTTTGATTAAATCAACTTCCTTTTTCATTATCTTATATCCAGGGTTCAATTTACGCGGTATCCCATCACAGGTTACGAGTCAGGACGACCCCATGTGCCATTTAATATTTCTTATGATTTGCCAAAATAAAAATTTATTACGATGATCTGCAAATCGAATAAAATTGATTCAAATTTCGTGAAAATTGTCTGCCCAATCCAGATATATACAGAAATATAAATATAAAATCTTGGCAGTCTATTAAATCTTACAGAACTAACGTTGTTGGCAAGATCAATCTGAAATCTACAACTGGAACATATTGATTGATACTGTATTTTTATGAATTGCGCAACAAAATTTGAAAGTTGGTGTGATAAAATAAAGTTTTCAAACAGTAACTGATCATGATATCCTATGCTACTATTGGCAGTATATCTTCTATCAAATTGCTCTTAATGTATAAATAGCTGCCATATTAAATCAACGTTGTTTATCCCAAGGCGGGAGAGTGTTCCGAATGCACACGTAAACAATCAGGGTTCTTCACAACGTATTGGTCCTATAAAGTACACACGTCTATCACATATGCGTACGTGACACTTGACAGGTTTCCTAATAGGAAGGGACATAACTCTAGTTATGGAATGGCACGGTTTTATCGGGAACGGGAATGTGCTGATAAACGAGGCTCCGCTGTAGATCCGAACTGTTTTATTGTACCTTATTCACCAAAACATTATACCGTACCTTGTGGGGTATTCTATAAAATAAACAGCCAGGTATACCTATATCAAATGGTCCATTTCCTTTATGTTGTTTTAACAGATTGGAAAACACAAACTGAAACAAAATGGAGACCAATACCGTATAATTGTAAATCTATTGCACACCCCTTCTTATTCTCCAGTGAATCTGGAAAAATCTGACAGACATTTTTCAACAATATCTGATTAAAATACAGCTTAGATCTCTGGAGAAAATTGCCTTGTGACATTTAGAAAGTTTTTATTATTATCATTATTAGAAAGTTTACTCACATCTGGAATGGGTTGTTCCCCTTTCATAGCTCTCCAATGAACAGACTTCTCTTCTGGTTCCATGGAATCCACATCAACATCATTTAATATTTCTTTGACATTAGCTTTCGAATTTCTCCGTTTATCTAAACTCTTAGACTTTCTGACAAATTCTTTCAGATTTCTGTAAAGTAAAATTTTGTAATTTCAGCACTTTCAAAAATCTTTTTGGTTAAATGACACAGTTGACCTCTCTTTCGCCAAGTATCATGTCAATATCAGTGTATTATATAGACCAGCTCTCAAGATTAAATTTCACACATAGTTGCAAAAAAGCCATACAAAAAAGTGAAAAAAGCTCATCAAATTCTTACAATACATGTTTGATGTTGTCAAAAAATATATATGTTGTAATGAACATGAGTAACCGGAAGAGGACAAATAAAATGAATGGAGTTCTACTTTTCTGGCGGACAAGATACTGGGTATTAAGCTTCACATCGTAGCTTGGCTGCTGCCATGTTAACATGATCATCTTATTCATCTATACGTTGTGTTGTAATGTTACCCCAGGGTTTTATGTATTGTCATGTATGTTCACTTCAGACATCAAATCCTCATCAGTACAGTATAAATTGTATGGACAAGGGAACTAACTAAACAGGGACAAGTAGTGAACAACGAAATATTCTACATTACACTCTAATTAAATATGGTTAAAACAATGTGACTCATTCATGGCAGCATTAAACAAAATAATATGTTATTTATCTCAATTTCTAAAGAAAAATGTCTGACTCCAAACTTGCATATATCTAAATCATGTGATATAATTTCATGTCTTAAAACAATATCAATATTTAGTTCATCTTACTTCAGTGGAAAATAGACTTCATCAATGGGCTCGGTGCTCATCTTTTTCAGTTCTTTCTCTAATTCTGATTCTTCATGCCCTGGTACCAGGTACCCCCAGCCATGGTCGACATGAAAGTGAAGTGGGTACCCATCCCATGTTAACCTCAGTAATTTAGGGACAACCCTCATCTGAGTGGAGATCAATGAAGGGCCAGGCTGCCAGTCTTCATCTTTGGGTTTCGGACACAAATCTTTGTACCAGCTGAAACATAATTGAGTAGAGTGGTAAATCAGAATAAGCCAGAGCCCACCATTCTCAACCGAGCTATGTCATAGGTAAGTGTTCAATCAATAGCAGTCAGTGCCCCACCCTTCTCCACCTATCTAGATCAAATTGAAAAGCTTGTCACAGAAAGAAGGTGGGATATTATTAATATAGAATTGGGTCACTGAAAAAAGAAAATTGAACTCAGTAAACAATATTAATAATAGCCTATTGGAGTGTAATTAATACCCAATAATTCTTTAAAGAAACAGGTACATTTTTTACAATTATATATCAATCAGTAATAGTGTTCACAGCTCACCGTTGAAATTTGAGACTAGTAATCTTTTCTTGAGACACTGTCATATATAGAAAAGACATCTGTAGAAATAGGAAAAGAAATTCCTAGTTTGAGATATTTTCGAAAGGAATTATATGATTTTACTACATTTCTAGTAAACAAAGTTAGCTTCATCCACCCTATTCAAGTTATCAGTCTGATATTTCTTGATAAAAAGTTAAAGAAGACTCACACTGGGTAGCCTGCCATGTAGACAGGTCTTTTGGGTATTCTACATTTGGATGAAATAACTTTATTGATGAGGGTTTTCCTTTCAACTTCTTCTTTATCCTAGCAACAGAGCAATAAATGTTTAGTTATATATAGTTAGAGATTAGGGTGGTTGAAAGGTAACAAGTTACTATCCAACAGAAGGCACTGGCACAGGGTTAAAGCAATGTTCACCAATGTTAAGGTTAATATGTTAAAATGGAAATTTGTACTAGTTATAGAGAATGTTGGGACACTGTCTATATTATGTAAGCTGGTAGGACCTTACTCTCAGTAAAACCATGAAGCTAGAAATATTTATAGTTATTTGTGCTTGTTAGCTTACAGAACCTTAGTTTTCTTTCCACCCAAGCAGCTGGGATCTGTCATCAGAATCATAGGGAAACAAACAGTAATAAGTTTATGCTAACATCTAAAAGGGGATGATAATGTGTCGAAATGTGAAATGAATTAGAATTAAAGACATCTATCATACAGTTATATACTTATATAATGTAGTTATATCAACTTTCAAGGATGTCCAGCTGAAATAAACAGATGCAGAGTGGCATCAGGTGAGCCAAAAGGTAATAATGCCCTGCCTCACCATCAACACCCAGCACTTTAATCATGACTTACATCAGTTTCCAGAATTTCCAACAGATCTTCTTTAGGCACATCATTCTCGTTCCCTGATTTATTTAATTTATAATCTGACACTGACCAGTCGAGATCCCACAACCATGGGTCATTTTTATACCTACAACAGTATATCAATCAAATTATAACTTCATCAGTAATTACTTTTTATATAATAAGATTAGGGAGCAGGCTTTTTGTCTATAGTACACTCTTCTAGTACCCTTCATCAGCAATATCATCTTCATAATGTCAAGCTATTATGAACTTTGTCTTATACCTTGACTGCAATAGCCATCATCACAATGTCAAGCTATTATGAACTTTGTCTTATACCTTGACTGCAATAGCCATCATCACAATGTCAAGCAATAACAAACTTTGTCTTTTACCTTGACTGCAATAACTACTTTTCTTTCGCAACGCAGAGAATTGATTGGATTGTGCGCCTGCATATATAGCCAATCAGAATCCTTGACAGAAAGAATGTAAACCTCTCTTAAGGCCTCTGATTGGCTGTATCCATTTGCATATAATCCACTGGCATCTATAAACTTCTTTGACACAAGAAAGGTGGCTATTGAGGTCAAGGTATAAGAAGAAGTTCGTAAAAGCTTGGTATTGTGAAGATGCAGTAATACATGTATTAACATAAGGCCTATAAAAAGGAAGAAACAATCAATTTTTTTACAACAACAACTGGGTTTATGAGGATCCACAAGCTGAGATTAGATCCACATAACTTCATGGAGATCTTCATGTTAAGAGACAGAAACCAAACAGTAGATTGAAAGTAGGTGAAAACAATTAATATCAGCTGGTAAAACAAACAAATAGATGACTAAATTTCTTTAAGGCTTGATATGCAACACTAACCTTTCTCCTTCTAACATCTCACAAGTCTCGTTAGCTAATTCCATCAACATTTTCTTTAACTCTGTTTGTATTTCATCATACATGGCATTAGAGAGAGTAATATATCTTTCCCAGTTAGCATTGATTGGTAGATACGCTGTTCCCATCTCTATCATACCAGCTAGAGTTACTGGGTGCGGAAATCTGCAATAACCATACCAAATTATCATATCAACATACAATAACAAATAATTTTCATTGTTACAATACTATCAATTGTAGAGTGACAATTCAGTAAGGACTCAGATTGAGTAGATCAGTTGTTTCTCAAAACAAGAAACTGAGTAACAACAATATTTGTTTCAATATATCACAACATACAATAGGTTACCAGTCATCAACAAATAGAAAGCTGACTAGATTTTTGTTTCTAAATCCAAAAATTAAATAAAAAAAAAAGAAACATAATTATTAAATACCTTTCTAGAAATTCTGGCCATAATTTAGAGAAAACAGAATGAGTGGCAGAAACATCATGAGCACAATAATTCAATAAATCCTGAAATAATCACAGACATTCATTGATTAGGGGTTGATTGGTAATAAAAATAATAATAATAATACACGAGACAGTGAATCAGAGGACCCTGATGTAACACAATGTGGAAGTGCAAATGCAAAAAATGTAATGAAATAGTCTTAGGTCTATATTTTAAACTTCTGATTAAGATGGATGACTGGGGACCGATTTTGAAATTCAGACCAAATCCTCATGTTAGCAAACAACCATCTTAATTCCTATATACATAATATTAAATGCTTTATCATATTTTAACAATTTCCTTTGATCATTTCATTAGATAAACAAGTAGACTGAGCTCGACCATGATATAACTAATACTATATATATTTCATTTCATAGTTCTAGTATGTTAACTCTCTAGATAGGGAATGATTCAGGTTCTCCTATTGGACTCATTGTCTAAAACTGTTCTATGATTTTGATATGTAATATAAATATCATACCTGAAAGTCATCTCTGACATCAGACATTGTGCCAACAACGAATGTGTTTCTCTTTTCTTTTTCTAGAGGTTTACTGTCTTTACAGTGGAACTGATATACAGCATTTAAACTATTCATAGTTCCTACTGACATCCAATCTGTAGACTGTAACAAGATATATATAATCATTTTATTATAGATAAACATGAAGCTATAGTAGGAGGACATCCACAAACGAGGAATAATTTTAGAACAGCTTTTATGAACCAATATCAAGAAAGGTACACAATAGCCTTCTAATATCAAATACAAGAAGATCAAAAAAGATAAAAAGTTAACAGACTTAGTGAGAGTAAGTGTTGATTGACTTAGTAATATTCAGTGTATTTAGTAAGTTACTTACATGTTCCACATATCTTTGACGTAACTTTTTTTCGAATTCCAGCACCTCTTTTCTATGACTGTCTTTACCAGCATTAAATAATATACGTTGAAAGGATGTTAAACCACAGATTGCTATGTGTAGTGACATGGTGTCCAAAAAACAGGTCTTCTTATTCTGTAACAAATGATATAATTTTACCATCTTATTTTGATACTAAGACTTCAATATGGATTTAAGTAGGGCCTATTTCTTTACTTTTCAATGTTTGGGACTACAGACATGATTGTTTACATTGGAGACCGTCTATTTGATACAATGACACAATGAATAACGTCATTGGTTAAAATTACTACGCTTTTGTTTTTGTGATGAGGCAATGTCGTTTATGGTGATATAAACTTCACATAAATTTTTAGTAGTCCAATGGAAGAAATAATAGCTAATGTAAATATGATTAGTACAATTAAGTCTGAGAGTTTATACTTGGGCTTGTGATTCTCAATAGATAGAAAGACTAAACCTCTTGGTAACAGTTTATTTCTTATATTTACGTTTTCAAGACATGCCAATTTAATACAAAGAATTTAGCATGAGTTAAGGTGGGCCTATTTTTACGTTTCAACTCGTGCAATATCCAACATGATTGTTTACATTGGAAACCGTCTTTTTGAAACAATGATTTTACCAGGATTTTCCCTATTCATTTTCAACTAGGATGAAAAAAACAGATGACTAATTCAAACTGAGTAGACTGTCAGATGCCAACCAAGATTAGAACCAATAACCACCATTTGTTTGAGGTAAAATGACATTATATTAAAGATGGGTTCCCTTATTTTCATTAATTTATAAAAATGAAATTGCCAGTACCTTACCAGAGGTGTTCTAATGATTTAGAAAAATACCAGTCTCACATGTCCATAATTGATCCTTAATTAGCTAAATTAGGAGAAAATTACCAGCAGAATTCCAATGAGTGGCCGATCAAGAAAGGTCAAAAAGTCTTTATTTGTTTTTCCAGACTGTACATACATGATTGGTTAAAACTCTTAATTATATGCAATAAGAACATTCTAATTCATTAGAAACACCATCAAATAGTTTGCTTAATTTGATACTAAAAAATAAGGAAGCCCACCATTAAGTTTCAACTACTGACTGTGCTACAGAACCAAAGTATATACTATATATATACAACACACTTAGACCCACATAAAAAGACCTAATTAAGACAACAAATGTACCTGTATAAGATATTGCTCCTTGATAAACGATCTATCAAAGCCTACATTGTGACCAATGATAATCTTTTTAGATTTATTATTGATACTGACAGAGCCTTTCTTAGTTTCTAGTGGAATCAAATCAGTCAGTGTTAGTTCAGTGGACCATCTGAATTTCTTCTCTATGAGATATTCACTACACCAGGAATACCTGCAACAACATAAATAGTCAATTAGTAAGACTTAATGAGAGTTAGATACACGCTTGTTAAATTTGAGAAAAATTCAGTTAAGTATGAAAAAAGGTTTTTAGACCCAGGGCCTGGATTTCAAGTTCCCTCTCGTCATTATAAACAAAATAATGATGAATAAGTAAAATAATATTGGCTATTGATGTGCCTCAGAGAGTTAGAGTTACTAGTTAAGCTGGAGGTCTATGTTTCAATCTCAGACCAGATACATTTGAATGTGATATCTTCAAATTCTCAACCACGTTCCTGTCTTGTCAGTGATTCATGTTATAAGGCCCGACAGGTTCAAACATTCTAGTTATATGAATGGTAGAAATATACCACACTTGTATATACCATACAAGCTATGCATGTTACAGAACTTTCCTAGCACAATGTCCTTCATGCTACACTGCATGGCATTGTCATCTTCATTATTCTAATCAACAGCAGAAAAATAATCAACAGAACTCAATTTGACTTCCTTTCATATTATATATATAGACTTTTCAATAACTATCTATAGGAACATTTTTGACCTTTACTTATATCAGACAAATCTAAGAGGGTCACATGGGAAAAATTTCTAAAATTGGGACGTTTTAATGATTTAATCCATTTCTTAACATACATAAACAGTGACCAGGATAAGAGACCATCAAGATTTAATTTACTTACCAATGCGTAGGGGACAAGGCTGAGGCCATGGTGGGATAACTCCCTTCTTTTACCAAACATTCAATATCAAATATCAAAATTTCCTCATCAGGATAATCTACCAGAGTGGCTTCTCCATTCTTATCATATTTAGTCCATCCTTTTGCAAAATTCCAAGTTTTAGGTTTTTCGGGTATCTCACTGTTGAGAAAAGTTTGCACAATTTGTTTGATATCTTCCGTCTGTTCAGAGGCAATATTTCGAAAATGTTCTTCAATATTGTTGCCTGATAATTGTGGAAGTGAAAAATCAATGTCTTTAAGAATTTCTGGAGGCCTGTCCCACAAATCATGCTGTGTTAAATGTTCTTCTATTTCTTTCATATCATTGCTGCCACTAAGACTATTCGGAGAATCTTTAAAGATTGTCTGGTGAAGGTTGTTTGGCAACATTTGGATATTGATCTCATTTCGCCGTAAATCTTTAGACGTTTTCTCCTCTACTTCATAAGATTGCTCAGTTGAGGAAAATACATTTTTAGTTTGATGATACCAGCGTCTAACGCTCAAGCTGGAACATCTTGCTGGGGATTTTAATATTCTCAGCATATTTATTGTTTCATACCTAGATACGAAGAAAAGGCTATAAGATATTTTCGTCAAATTTTATGTTCAAAGGGCATGCCTCTTATATAAATAAATTATTTGTTAGATATTTCAATTCATCTCGAAATTTGCAATGCAATTTAGTTACCATACAGTAATTATATCAATGAATTTTTACATTAGATGTCAATAAGATAAAAAGTTATAGGTAAGGTCGGTAGTTTGCAAATTACACACACCACTTTTTAACAAGCTCAAATTGTCGTAAAGAAGCTCCTTGAAAACACAAACGTCATGCCTGATATAGTCAGTGTGTTAATGGTGTGGAATATTTAAAATCGAAAGCTTGACACCTTAGTTCAAGTTAAATCTTTCAGAAAAACTAAAGTTTTATAATAATTTATGTTTTGGAAGTCATGCATGTTTTGACCGGAAGTGCTTATCAGCTGGTTTCGGAAAAATAATTCCTTTCATCGTATCTTCTGGACCGAGAAATATTCTAGGATATCACAAGATATTTTGAACTTTCTTTTGTTCTTTATAACTGAAATTTGAAAACTGGGGTGAGAAAATGATAAAAGTAAGGCATGTAAGTAAAATCTGGTAAAACCATTTTCGAAATGATTCAAATTCTAATTTTGTACGGTATCATATAGAGGGGACGTAACTCCTTCCCACCAAAGAGCAATGGTTTAAAAAAAAAAGAAACTTTATTTTGTAATAATTCTGTAAGAATATTTAAATAATTTGACTGATGATTTATTCTCTCAATCTTGAAATTGCTGAAACTGTAGAGGCAGTGCTTAACTATCAGTAACAGTCTATGAGACTATTATTGTGACTATGTAGAGATCTAAACCAAAAGCCATGAAGCCGGCGGAGTTTTAGGTCTCAATAATGAAGGCTTCTATTCTATTAGCACACTGCAACATGGTTACGTTTTTTAATTAACTCACTGTAGGCTACTACAGTTCTATGCTCAGAGTTGGGTATTTCTTTGTGGAGAACAGGATAATGCTAAGTATAGATGACAAATCTTTTTTTTCTCATAGATATGATGCCTGTGTTATTGCATTTGGTTATTGATTGTACTGGTAAAATCTGTCTGACATTAGGCCATATAAAAACTCTTGTTGAGGATTAACAATTTGTTCAACTTGCATGGAAAATGGAAAATATAAGAATATCGCAGGGACAAAGTGTCGTGTCCATAAAAAATCATACCAAATACACTGTTTAAAAACAATGACCTTCTGTAATCCCTTATCTAAAGCCTGAATTTAGGCCTAGGCTCTAGGGCTTATTAATACTTACTTCATTAAATATTCATTAATTTTATAGGTACAGTAACCTCATTACTGCAAAATGAAGATTGCAGTGGAAGGTTGTTGTCATGGGGAACTTGATAAAATCTACGAGACTATCGAATACCTCCAGAAACGAAATGATATGAAAGTGGATATTTTATTGATCTGTGGAGATTTCCAGGCTGTCAGGAATTCCAGTGATTTGCAATGTATGGCAGTTCCACAAAAATTTCAAAAACTCAACACATTTTATAAGTAAGTATTTTGAATTGTATTGTTATGAACTTGTTTGTGATATTTTACTTCTTACCACAGTCGATCCTAGGGATTGCTAACAGAACCTGATACATACTCCAAGCAACTGTTAAATTTGGGGATAGGTATGGTACTTCTTAGCCTAGAGGGTTGTGATTTCAACACAAATATTAGAAGAACAGGCCAGTTATTTCAAATGAAGCTCAAATTAAAGTTTTCAACACAGATTGTTATGTTTTTGTTTTTTTTGTTCAGATATTACAGTGGAGAAAAAGTTGCTCCAGTTTTAACAGTTTTTATTGGTGGGAATCACGAAGCCTCAAATTATCTTCAAGAATTAACCTATGGTGGCTGGGTGGCTAAAAATATCTATTATATGGGTATGAGGAAATTTGTTTTCATTTCTTAAATGCAAGAAAAATAGCTTCTTACTCCAAAAAATCAAGGCGAGATATTTATTTACCCCTAAATAGAGGCCAGATTGTGTTTACCCCTAAATAGATGCCATATATTTATTTACCCCTAAATTGGTTCACCCCAAAAAGAGGTCTATTATTTGGTTACCTCTAAAAAGAGGCCACCTCTTAATTTACCTCTATACAGGCCACCTGTGTATTGTTAACATTTAAAATGTCAGATTATTTGTGTTATTAAAATGAGATAAAGGTTCTATATTATTATTTTCTTACAGGTTATGCTAATATTATCCAGTTTGGAGGTATCAGGATAGCAGGCCTATCTGGTATATATAATAGTAAAAACTATACTAGAGGACATTTTGAAAGACCACCGTATAATGAAAGTACAAAACGTTCAGTCTATCATGTGAGGAATCTGGAAGTGTTTAGGTTTAAACAGGTGAGTGAAAGCAGTGGTCAAGAACTGGTCATTGTTATTTATCCATTAACTATTGTTAAAATTGGGCCAACTTTCAACCAGCTAACATTAAAAACCATGTTCAGTATAGGACCATTATTATAAATACAACTAGTAGCTGAAGCAAAAGCTTTGCATTTCTGAATTATTTGTTTATCTTGTAAATCTCTCCAGAAGGAGGTACTTCTTATCAAATTGATGTATTCTAATACTGAAATCCATAGTCCCTACTTGTGACCTAGGCCAGTGCTTCTGTAACAGAGTATCTCTTATAAAACCTTATACTAGTAATAGAATTAAAATATAAGCTTATATCTATCTTACATTTATAGGACATTATAGATTTTGTTACAAAGTTGATATTATCTGTTACCATCGTACACATTATATAGCCTGAAACTTGCACACTTCCAACTTGCTTATTATAATGTGTTCTATAACTTCCCATTATATATCAGTGGTTTTAATTACTACATCTAACCTGGAATTCCTCATATTCTCCAAATAAATCCTAATCCAGTAATCTGACTGGATAATAAAACAAAACTTAAAATTAATTTTATTGATTGATCAGATGATTGCAACAATAAAATCATCTTAAGTTAAGTTTTCCAGAATAAGCTCCCCTGGAAACTTCTGAGAATACAATGCAGCAATACTCTCTCTCTATTTGTAGACTTTCACTTTTTCTTCACATGAGAAAGAGGGTCCAAAACATAGCCCCAGTTATGAAACTTGAAATATCTCTTATGTTTACAGGTATCAAGACCCATCGATATTTTCCTGTCACATGACTGGCCTCGTGGTATTTATAACTATGGTAACGTCAAAGAATTATTACGCAAAAAATCATTTTTCGCTGAGGAAATAGAACAGAATAAGCTAGGAAGTGAACCTAATGAAGAATTGTTACATGTTTTAAAACCAGATTATTGGTTTGCTGCTCATCTACATGTTAAATTTCCAGCTATTGTACAACATCAGGTAAATCATCAAGTTTTTGCAGATTGGGGTTGAAAGTTCATGTCAGATTAACATCAAAAACATTTAGCATTGCACCTTTGTTTAGTAGTTGACAACCCAACTTGATGCCTACAGAGCTCATGGTAGCACTCGATTGGAAAATTCAGATCAGGTTCCATCATATGCAATTCTACCCCCAATCGAACAGTGTGACATTCCTAATATTCCCATCTATTTTCTTCTCTGCCATTTTGAATTCTGTCTGCAGGAACACGTTCTAACTCTGTTCCAACTTGTATTGAATGTTCTGTTGCTTTCATAAATTGTAAGAATCATAAGAGTCTCTCTATCTGTTGAATATTTTTTGGTTTGTTATGTGTTTTATATTTTACAGACTAATAATGGTGAAGAAGAAAAATTAACCAAGTTTTTATCATTAGATAAGTGTCTTCCTCGACGCAATTTCTTACAGGTAAATAGAGTTATTGCCCTTGTATTATTGTGATAAATTTGTTTATTTTTTCTTTTGAAAATATAAGATCTTCATTTATACAGTAATAATTGAATTTCATGTAAGTTTGGATATGAACATATCTAAAAAATTAACAGAATTTGGAAACTAAAAAATTTGCTCATGTCTTTAAGCTTTTGCAGTTCTTCAGGTATGCGAATGTACATAAAATACAATATTAGCTTTTGAGCTCCTAGTTACATAGATAAACATTAGCATATACATTAATTCATGCTATTGTTGATAGAATTAAATATTATTACCAATGACAACTGATATAAATATTGATTAATTTGTAGGTTATAGATATTCCCCATGACAACAACATTCCTCTCAAATTACAACTAGATCCAGAATGGCTGTCAATTATTAAACAGACCAATCATCTATTGAATCTTGGCCCCGCCTCCTGTTTTATGCCAGGCATTGGCAGCAATGAAAGGTATGGTTTAAATCATGATGTATTAATTGTTCAAGTTTAGCTTCTCTTTACTTCAGATTGAAAATTAAAAAAATAAAACTTTGGATATTGGACAAAAACTTAAGACTGAATGGGTGGCCATACAAAATTATACACTCAAGTATCTGATGTTGTCTAAAACAATCGGAGATGGTCGTGACACCTTCTCATATATATACTATTATAGAGAGAGTCAACCATTGATAGAAACAGATGCCTGATGATAGATTAGCTGGTTGCCTTTTCTATTTGTATTTTTGGTTAATTTGAAGGTTACCCTTTTCTTAAGTTTGAATCAGAACAATTTCTGATGTTACTTAAATGTTTTCTGGAGTTGGTATAGTGTTCACACTAAATCTCTCCCACCATTTAAACAATATAGCAATGTTAGATTCCTGATACTACTTTTCATTATGAAATACGTACTTATGGTTGATATTACTTCCTCATATTAAAAGTTCATTAACTGTTACTAATTTTTCGCCAATATATTGTTTGGATTTCAGGTTTTGTTTTGCGATTTGCATCGTTAGTATTTTGTTTATTTATGTAGAGTTCAAATTTAAGAATTTAATTATGTTATTTGTTTCAGATATGACTTCAAGATAACTGCTGATGATATACAAGCTATTAAAGATGATTTCGGTGATGATTTGACTATTCCAGATAATTTTGAGGAGACTGTACCACCCCATGATTATAATCAACCTAACTGTAAAACACGTCCTGGGGTCATCATTAATCCTCAAACCACCTTATTATGTACAATGTTGGACCTCACTGACCCTAATGCAGTGTTTCTGGGCAAAGATTCTACCTTGAAAATTTACTCGATTCCTACAATAAGTCCAGATGACCTTGAGAATGATGATGATGATGATGACGTGGATGACCTTGACAGTGAAAGTGATGTGAATAATAGTGTTAACGAGTCGTTCTCCGTGTCTGTGTTGAATAACAGCGAACTGTCATCAGAAAGTGTCAGTGACACGTCGTTTAATTCCATGACTCCAGCAGACGCGACAGTCGATGAAGAAGATGAAATTAAAGAAATTCTCGAGATGCAAAAAGCAGAGAAAATTTCGGACAGTGATAAAGGTTCGGATGATGAAACAGCTAATAAAAATATTACATCCACACCAAATTTGTCCAGACATACCTCCAAAACTCAAATCAATCATCAATTTGAAGCCTCGTTAGAACTTAATCCAAGTCCTCAAGGAGAATTTTCCTCCAAACCAGTATTGGACTGTAAATTAGAACAGGAAATGATGTCACCAAGGGGAGAGAATTCAAGTCAAGACTCGTCAGCTGAAGAAGGATCTGTGAAATCAGAGAAGCGAGCGTCAGATTCAGATGAAAGTCCAACAACAAAGCGTGTCAAAATGAAAAGAAGAAATATTATTATGTATAGTGATCAAGAAGATGAAGGGAAATAACTCTATGTACCATTTTACTATACGGGTATCAGTTTCATCCAAAATGAATTGCGGCCGTTTTTTAGAAACTTAAAAGTATTTTTTGACCAATCGTACCTTAGTCTCAGAAACGGGAATTTTTTACCTAAACTGTTCAGTAATAGTGTTCACAGCTCACCGTCAAAATTCAAATCCATGTGTATAGTAAGATATAGGTTTATCTAAATTCATGTGAATCAGAAAGTATAGAAAGTGTTGAAACAGAATTATTTTGTTAAAGTTAAAATCTGTATAAAATGTTTATAGAATAAAACAGAAAATTTATTCAGTCCTTGACTTTATTATACTTCAGTTGAGTTGAGATAAATGTACATTCAGGAACTGACAGGGCAGGGTTGATTAGTACCCTGATGGATACTTGGTAGTTTAAACAATATACACCCAGTAGACTGACTGTCATTACTGATCACCAACAGACTTGGTAGTTTAAACAATATACACCCACTAGACTGACAGACATTACTGATCATCAACAGACTTGGTAGTTTAAACAATATACACCCACTAGACTGACTGACATTACTGAACACCAACAGACTTGGTAGTTTAAACAATATACACCCAGTAGACTGACTGACATTACTGATCATCAACAGACTTGGTAGTTTAAACAATATACACCCTGTAGACTGACTGACATTACTGATCACCAACAGACTTGGTAGTTTAAACAATATACACCCACTAGACTGACTGACATTACTGATCATCAACAGACTTGGTAGTTTAAACAATATACACCCTGTAGACTGACAGACATTACTGATCACCAACAGACTTGGTAGTTTTAACAATAAACACCCACTAGACTGACTGACATTACTGATCATCAACAGACTTGGTAGTTTAAACAATAAACACCCAGTAGACTGACTGACATTACTGATCACCAAAAGACTTGGTAGTTTAAACATTATACACCCACTAGACTGACTGATATTACTGATCATCAACAGACTTGATAGTTTAAACAATAAACACCCAGTAGACTGACTGACATTACTGATCACCAACAGACTTGGTAGTTTAAACAATATACACGCAGTAGACTGACTGTCATTACTGATCATCAACAGACTTGGTAGTTTAAACAATATACACCCAGTAGACTGACTGACATTACTGATCACCAACAGACTTGGTAGTTTAAACAATAAACACCCAGTAGACTGACTGGCATTACTGATCACCAAAAGACTTGGTAGTTTAAACATTATACACCCAGTAGACTGACTGATATTACTGATCACCAACAGACTTGGTAGTTTAAACAATATCCACCCAGTAGACTGACTGATATTACTGATCATCAACAGACTTGGTAGTTTAAACAATATACACCCAGTAGACTGACTGACATTACTGATCACCAACAGACTTGGTAGTTTAAACAATATACACCCAGTAGACTGACTGATATTACTGATCACCAACAGACTTGGTAGTTTAAACATTATACACCCAGTAGACTGACTGACATTACTGATCACCAACAGACTTGGTAGTTTAAACAATATACACCCAGTAGACTGACTGATATTACTGATCACCAACAGACTTGGTAGTTTAAACATTATACACCCAGTAGACTGACTGACATTACTGATCATCAACAGACTTGGTAGTTTAAATAATATACACCCAGTAGACTGACAGACATTACTGATCATCAACAGACTTGGTAGTTTAAACAATATACACCCACTAGACTGACTGACATTACTGATCACCAACAGGCTTGGTAGTTTAAACAATATACACCCACTAGACTGACAGACATTACTGATCACCAACAGACTTGGTAGTTTAAACAATATACACCCACTAGACTGACTGACATTACTGATCACCAACAGATTTGGTAGTTTAAACATTATACACCCTGTAGACTGACTGACATTACTGATCACCAACAGACTTGGTAGTTTAAACAATATACACCCAGTAGACTGACTGACATTACTGATCACCAACAGATTTGGTAGTTTAAACAATATACACCCAGTAAACTGACAGACATTACTGATCACCAACAGATTTGGTAGTTTAAACAATATACATCCAGTAGACTGACATTACTGATCACCAACAGACTTGGTAGTTTAAACAATATACACCCAGTAGACTGACTGACATTACTGATCACCAACAGACTTGATAGTTTAAACAATATACACCCAATAGACTGACTGGCATTACTGATCACCAACAGACTTGGTAGTTTAAACAATATACACCCAGTAGACTGACTGACATTACTGAGCACCAACAGACTTGATAGTTTAAACAATATACACCCAGTAGACTGACTGACATTACTGATCACCAACAGACTTGGTAGTTTAAACCAGTAGAGCAAAATTGGGCTATTTAGCAAAATTAGGTGTTTGGCATTTTCGGTCAATGAGGCCTATAGAGCGGACAATCGTTTATTCCTAACCTATGACAGATATTTGAGTTCTGTTTTTATACGTCCACATGGAAATGTGGACGTATATTGCCGTCGCCCCTGTCCGTCAGTCCGTCAACATTTCTTGTGAACACAATAGAGACTACAGTTTTTGTCTGATTTTAATGAAAATTGGTGTGGTCTTGTATACTGATGAGATCTTGGTGAAGTTCGAATTTTTGGATGAACGGTTTTTGAGTTATTGCCCTTGACTTATGAAAAACGCGTCAACAATGGAGACTACAGTTTTCATCTGATTTTAATGAAACTTGGTGTGCTCATTTATATTGATGAGATCGTCAACGATTTTTCTATGAACGGTTTTTGAGTTATTGCCCTTGACTTACGAAAAACGCGTCAAAATTTGATCATGAGCACAACAGAAATTAGTGTTCATCTGATTTAAATGAAATTTGGTGGGATCATTTATAATGATGAGATCTTGGTCAAGTTCAAATTTGACGATTTTTCGATGAGAGGTTTTTGAGTTATAGCCCTTGACTTAGATTTTTTGTAAATTTGGAGTGATGATTTATGTTGATAAAGGAAATGAAATGAGTTTTACGTCTTTTTTATTTATATTGATGAGATCTTTTGACAATTTCTCTATTAACAATTTTTAAGTTTTGCCCTTAATATTAGAGCTGTGTTATTTAATAATTTGAAATATCGTGTCTGACTTGACGTTTCACTCTATTAGCTATATTTAAAAATTTGGTGGTATTTCTGAGCATAAATTAAATAACTGGCAGTAAATATATATATCATTGAATTCAAACTATTAAAATTTCTTTAATATGAAAAATTGGTACTTTAGTCACCAAAGACTGTTTTATCATTTCTGACTGCTGCCAGTGGGCGTATGTTAACTTGCCTGGCCAACTATTTTTTCTCAAATTTCTAGATAGTCTTCGATTACATTACGGTGACTACAAAGGTTAAATTTAACTTCTTCAAGAAGAGTTCTACAGATAACCGTTCCAAGAACGCTTTTCATTTACACTGCACTGAAGAACCATTCTCAGATCACTTGAGTATACTGTAATGTAACAGGGTACATGTTATAGCGGCCTGGTGTAAAAGGGGCTATTCACTCTTTTAAACATAAAAAGAAAAGTCACACGAGAGTGCTACTGGTTGAAATTATCTAACGATAGTCAAATACCAAATAAACTAAACTGAAACGCAATACACTGTTATCGAAGCATCGACCTAAATAGTTTACAAGTCAAATTAATTTAATTAGCCCAAATTATACCAAATGGAACTTGGTGGCTATACAAAATGGCGACTCTTATATATTGTTACTTATTTACTCTCTTTATAAGTGTTTCTATAGAAAATGTATTAAAATCTCATCAAGAATTTGATTTTGTGGCCATCTTTGATTCTTTTCAATATCAGATAGACTATCTGAAAGCTGACAAGCAGGACATGGAGTTAAATATCGCCATGTTGGTTGAAGAGCGAGGTTTGGTCAGCAACAAGTTTAAAACTTTAGAAAAGAAAATAGAAGCTTGTGAATCGAGAATGTCCAAAATGGCGATCCAAGTTGCTGAAAACGCCGAGGAATTGTCCGCCATTACTCACAGACTGGATGAACAGGATCAAACGCTCTTAGAAATCACAGGAAACATATCTCAGTTGAAGAAATCCCTCGTTTCTCCTCTGAAAATCAAGATTATTGAAGGACGACTGAATAAGTTAGAAAGTCTACAATCTTCATCGGAACAGGATATAAAAAACACCATCGAATATTTTGAGCTGACGTTCTCAAATTTAACTCATCATATGGATTACTTGAACAATCAAACTCTGGATTTAGAGAAAAAGATCGAAACGTTCAGCACAAATGGTAGCCCTCCTCTGAGACAGACGACAAAAGTTTCATACGTTTGGCTGAACAAGAGTCAGAACATTGACGATATCTCTCTCCAAGAATTATTGTCGTCTGCTAAAGAACTTCCCGGACAGCAAGTTGAATATGAATCTGTTGAAAAGGATTTAGAATGGATACAGATGGAGTTATCGTCCCTGAAACTGAAACAATGGGCTCTCCAATCTCAGATGCTTCAGTGTAATTGTACTTCTGGTACTGGGTCTCCCAATTCTACCAGCTCATGGAATAACTCCAGCTTTACACCCAAGGGAGGTAAGTTTTGTAATTTGTATTAGATATATCTACCAAACGTATCCCGAAAGAGGTACTATGGCCAGTGGCGGCGCCAGGTTTACGTTCGAGGGGGGTGGGGGGGGGG